CAATCCCTTGGTAGTTATATTGTTTTTGGCACTTGGAAAGGTTTTTGTGGTTAAGTCACGTTAAGAAATTGTGCATTTTTTTCCTGTTCAGCTATAACCCAAGGCAGTGAAAAAACCAGCAAGAATTTTGAAGGCAGTCACTTGTGCATCCTATGATAAAGGTGTTACGTTTCATTGCCCACAGCTAACTTTCAGTCTACTGGAAATGAAAAGGCACAGTTAGGGGGCATGTGAGCATGCCATGAGAGAGGTCGATACAATTAAGAAGTCTGTGCCAATCCCTAATACTGTGGGATTGAAGGGGAGGGAGAGATGACCTCTCCTTCAGACCGTGCTGAGCAAGGAGGGAGAGGGAGTTCACCCATGGGAAGCTGAGAAGGAGCAAATCCCAGGGGCATCTAACTCAGGGTGCAGCAGCAAAGCCTTGGAAAGGAAAATGGCCCAGTTCAGCTGTCACAGGAGACAGGAGAAAGCAAAGTAATGTAATCCACAGTCCCCTAGCTGATTTGCTTCCTTATTACACTATTTTGCACCAGCGTGTCCTTGTCTCCCATTGCTCCTCTGCCTCGGCCAGAATCATCTTTTCCTTGTTTTTTTGCTCAGATTAGTGGATGTGCATTGTACCAGTTGATCATTTCCTGTAGCAACTCCTTTGCTAATCTTGGTTATATCCATCTTTATTTTCTGCATTAGGTACTGCTCCCGCCACCATTGCTTATTGCCTTGTAGGAAGTCTCTTTTTATATAATTCAATTTTACTTTTTATTAAGAAACATTTGACTTCACCTTTTGGTGATCTATGCTTTTGGGGCAACATTGTCATTTTTGTAGGACATTTTTGTTTATTTTTAGTGATTCAGATGAAATAATCTCTTTATACTTCAACGTCTGTGTTTTCTTCCTATTTTAAGCCAAATATTATTTCCTTTCATTCCTCTTTCTTTAGATAGTAGTTTTAAAGGAGAAAAAGTCTATAACTGGAGCTATATGATAAGTGTTATTCAGAATGAGGTGAGATATTAAGATTGGTAACTCAAAACAATAGTCTGGGTTAGAACTAATGTTGGAATTAGGGTTTAGGGAAGCCGCTCATAAAACCTGCTGGATGGAACTTCTGGAATATTCTCCCAGCTCACTCTGCAGACACTTCCCAGCATTCCTTGGGCCATTGAGAAGAAATAATGATGACACTTCACTTACTGGCCACAAGATGGCACTGTGGTCCACTGGGATCTAAAGGGCCTTGGGGAGCCTGGGAGAGCGCTTAAGAGGGAAAGGGTTAAGAAAAATTAGGGCTTGGATCCCATGTTATGCAGATGTTGCAGCAGTTTTCAATTATTGCTAGGCTACCTACAGCTATGCAAGACTGGGGAAGTCCCTCTAATCTTTAATGAGATCTACAGTTGAGGAATTTTGACCTGGTAGCCTTGATGCAGGTGCAGAGGAGCAACTGCCTCAGCAGAATAGGGAAAAGCGAGGGTGGGCTGTGCCCTGAGCCCAGTGCGTCTCTGCTGCACCTTATCTTCCCTGCAGGTCTTGCCAGGCAACAGCTTTAACCTGCTTGAGTGATCTGGGAGTCTGCGAGTTTATAAGTCATACTGATAACATCACCTTGGCTGAGATTCCATTGGACACCAGGCACGTGTTCTCTGCAGAAAAAAAAATATTGAGAGCAAGTTCTAAAACACCTAAGTAAACAAACTACTGAAAGGCAATGTTAGTAGATGCACCAAACCGTTAGTAGATGCACCAAACCGTGCTGTTAGACGTGAAGATAATCTACTAGTAAAATTATCGCAAAGAGACTATAAATTAAGTCTCTAGTAAGTATTTGTGGGCATAGAACAGTGTTTGAGTCCTCTCAGTGTAGATTAAGGAAGGAATTCAGCTATTATCTTGACTTTGGCTTGGATGAAAATCCATGAACTCCTCAACTGATTTTCTTGTAATATAGTACAGAATAATACTGAGCAAACATTTTATTTTTCTCCAGCCTGTATCCCTCCTTGGCACTAACAGGTAAAGCGGACACCTAGAGGCAAGGTTTCTTTAGTTGGGATCCATTAACTGCGGGACTGTGAGGTCCATAGCTGGACTTTACAGGGAGTGCAAACCCCACATGCAGGGATTCCCACATGTCTGTGCTGTGCCCAACTCCCCTCTGTGAGGCTGCCAAAGGGGGAGGCCCGGGTCACCCAGGACCCCACTCACAAAGCGGGGAACAGGCCTCTTGCTTGGCAAAAAAAATTCAGTTCACCAACTGGCCAATCTATTGAAAGCCAAAATGAAAGGAAAGTCTCAGTTGTGAGAGTGATGAATGCCCAGTTTCCCAAGTTATGAAATATATAGCAGCTCGTGGTTCCTAGAATGATTTCAACAGCATATAAAGATATTGTAAAATGCTTTTGTTTGTCTATAACTTTCCTTGATATTGATCCCCAGTTGTTTTTCAGCCCACGCATCAGTTGAGCTTATTTTGATGCCAAATTTCAGTGTTGCCACTTCAGTCAACAAGCACTTCTCATATTCTCCATAATTTACACAGGTATGTGTGTTCCTGTCTTTTCTTGTTTTTGTGTGATTCATTTTTAAATTGGGCTGTACAGAATACAAGCGTACATTTGTAAATGACTCCCATATTTTATGCAATTTAGCTGTTTACTTTTTAGTAATAATTTTATTTAAGGTATAATTAATAGAGAGTAAAACAGAAATATTAATACAAGGACATCCTGGTACATTTTGACAAAAGCATATGCCAGTGCACAGCAACTGAAATGATTATAAAATAAATTCCGTCATGCAGGAAAGGGAGGTCATGCTCCTTTCCAATTTCTCTCCCAGAGAAAAAAACTTACCTTATTTATTTATTTATTTATTTATTTATTTATTTATTTATTTTGAGACAGAGTCTCAGTCTGTCGCCCAGGCTGGAGTGCAGTGGTGTGATCTCAGCTCACTGCAAGCTCTGCCTCGCAGGTTCATGCCATTCTCCTGCCTCAGCCTCCAGAGTAGCTGGGACTACAAGCGTCCGCCACTACGCACAGCTAATTTTTGTATTTTTAGTAGAGACGGGGATTCACCGTGTTAGCCAGGATGGTCTCAATCTCCAGACCTCATGATCCACCTGCCTCAGCCTCCCAAAGTTCTGGGATTACAGGCATGAGCCACAGCGCCTGGCCAAAACTTTTCTTATTTTTATCACCACTGACTAGCTTGGTCTATTCCTAAACTCCATATAAATGGAATCATGTAACATCTTTATTGAGTTATTTTCCTCCAAAGTTAGTATTTCTGAAGTGTATTCATATTGTTGTATCAGTAGTTCATTTTTTCTTATGACTAATTTTCCATTGCATGAAAATACAACAACTTGTTGATCCACGCTCCTGTTGATGGAGATCCATGTTACTCCTGTCTTCAACCTTTATGAATAAAGTTGTTGTGAATATTCTTGTGGAATTCTTTCTTGTGGATATATGCATTCTTTTTTTAAAAATTTTCTTTTAGGTGTAGATTAAGAGTGGAAATACTGACTCACGGTCTAGATGTGTGTGCAATGCTTGCCTGTCCCCACAAAAGCTCATATTGAAGTTTGTCAATGTAATGGTATTGGGAGGTGGGACAGTTATGACAAGGTCATGAGGGATCTGCCCTCAGAAAGAGATCAATGCCCTTATTGTGGGAGTGAATTAGTGGTCTTGGGAGTGGTCTTCTGATAAAAAGGATGAATTCAGTCATTTTCTCTGACTTCGGTGCTTGGTTCGCCTTCCTTCTGCCTTGGATAACAGCAAGAGGCCCTCATCAGTTATGACCCTTTGATCTTGGACTTCCCAGTCTCCAGACCTATAAGCCAAATAAATCTCTTGTCCTTATAAATTACCCAGTCCGTGGTATTTCTCTATAGCAGTAGGAAAGAGATTGAAAGAAAACATGGTGCTGAGAGTGATGCTGTTGTTATAACAAGTACCTGAAATTGTACAAGCAGCTTTGGTTAATGGCAAATGGGTAATGGATAGAGGTTGGAAGAATTTGGAGAAGCAGACTAGCAAAAGACTTGATTGCTGAAGCAGAGCATTAAGGGCAATTCTGGTGAAGGCTTAGGGGGAAATGAGGAACAAAGTATCAGAAATTGAAGTAAATGTTATCCTTGTTGTAAGCAGCAAAAACCTTGGCAAAATTGTGTCCTGTTCTAGGACTTTATGGAATAAAATAATTATGAGCCATTAGCTAGGATATCTGCTGAAAGAAATATCTAAGCGGCTAAGCATTCAGGCTACTGTGTGACTACCTTCAGGCACCAGGAAATTTAACCCAGCTAGAAAGGAGCCAAGGAAATAGATTTTGCAAAGCAGCACAAATGGTGACCCTATCTCCCTCTGCTGTCCTATCTCCCATAAGCCGAACTCACTCTGGAGTTAGAGAAAAGAGGAGCCAGTTAACACGATACACTGGGGTCAGTTTCTGAAGGCAGGGTGGATCTGGAGGTAATAACATAAACTGTCCAGAGCACTACATATAGGATGGCCTTGAGGGTGCTGAGTCCCAAGCTGGGTAGGTCTGTGCTGTGAGCTGATGAGGCCCTATAATTATTTCTGGGGAATCTGTACTCTTGATAATTTACAGACAACCCAGGTCTGCTTTGCATCTGATCAGACGGACTAAATCTTGGGAACTCTGCACCGCTGGCCACTCAGGAAAGGGGCTGGGAATGTTGCCTGGGACAGGAAAATATGATAAGAAACATTGGTGTGAATCTAGCATCAGAGATATGATGTGAGGACAGTCAGGAAGAGCTGGAACCTGAGGTTTAATCACAGGCTACTCACCCTTCACTAATGGGCAGGTGTGTGAGCTCCAGCATGGAGCACTGCAGTACTAGGCGGGAGCAGGGTGAGAGGGTGATGGGGCAGCCTGTGAGCTTGGGCAGTGTAGACAGAGGAGCAACTGTGTCACCACAGAAGCTTCTGCCTTCACCTATCCCTCCAGTTCTGCAGGACAGGTAGAGTCCAGGGTCCGTGGAGTACTAGACCTAAGGAAGCCTGCATGGGGAGGACACAGGACAGTGACATCACAGGATGCCCCTCCCATCAGGAAAATTAAGGCCCAGAACTCACTCAGCTCTTCCCCAGGAGGACCAAGCGTCAGGTGCAGTGCTGCCTGCCCCACTGTGCCATGGGCCCCGGGCTCCTCTGCTGGGCGCTGCTTTGTCTCCTGGGAGCAGGTGAGTCCTGTGCACAGGACAGCAGCCCCATTCTCAGCTTTCCCACCCCTGTGTCCTCCACTTTACCTTGGGGAGGACCTCCAGGCTGTCTCCTGAGCTCATCCTCCATCTCCTTTTCCCACAGGCCCAGTGGAGCCTGGAGTCACCCAAAGTCCCACACACCTGATTAAAACAAGAGGACAGCAAGTTATTCTGAGATGCTCTCCTATCTCTGGGCACAGCAGTGTGTCCTGGTACCAACAGGCCCTGGGTCAGGGGCCCCAATTTATCTTTGAGCATTATGAGAAGGAAGAGAGAGGAAGAGGCAACTTCCCTGGTCGATTCTCAGGTCGCCAGTTCCCTAACTATAGCTCTGAGCTGAATGTGAGCGCCTTGTTGCTGGGGGACTCGGCCCTGTATCTCTGCGCCAGCAGCTTGGCACAGCCTGGCAGAGTCACTGACATTCTGTATATAAACTTCCTGCCTTAGCTTTGACTTGAGAGCTACAGGCCCCACCCAGGTTTCACTCCTTCAAGGGAAGCTTTCAGTTGTTTGGAAGGCATGTCTACTGTCCTACTGAGTGCAGAGCTCTCCCAACCAACAGCGTCCAGGTTTCCTGTACCCTGAGTGTGCCTGCTTCTCTGCTGCATCCTCTTGCAGCTTGTTATTTACTGGGTAACTTCAGTGGAAGAGTGACTGCGGAGTCCCAGATGTGTGCTTGATTCTTTGTATTTGTTATGTAGCTTAAAGCTTTTCAACAGTCTTGCACATCAAACATTCTTATTCTTCCTTTACAGATGGGAGGCTCAGGGACATTGAGTCATTTTCCCCAGTGTCTCCTGGCTTGTAAGGATCAGAAGCAGGAAACAAACTAGTCCATACATTTTCCACCTACCCCTCTGCTCCATCATTACCTTCTGTGTCCTAGTCAGTAAGTCAGAGCCCTCATACTGCCCTCATGACCACCAGGGCCATAGTAGAGGCTCAGATGTCTTAAGGAGTCACTACTGAGGCCTCTTCATTAGCAACTTTGAGGAAGCTTAAATTTCACATTAAAAAAAATTCATTTATATGCATTTCCCATGTCTTTCCCCCGTCTGCAGTTTACATTTTCATTTTTATGGTGTTTTTTGATGCATAACAGTTTAATTTAATGCAACAAAAATGAAAAACAATTTTGTTTGTATGTAGAGAAAAACTGCTGTCTCATATAAATGTCTAAACGTATTTTTCTCAATTTATTCTACTAAAATTTAAGTTTGGATTTTCACCACTAAGAATAAATGCACCTGAACTAGATCTCATGTGAGAAACAAGATAGAGACCTAGGAATGGGAGGGAAGCATATATGTTCAGTGAGGAAGCAATAACCTGTTAAAAAGAGCCCTAAAGTGGACACCCTGAGCTGATGGTGGCAAGGGAGGTGGAGGGCAAATGATCATGACCCTTGTCAGGCTGTTGTCTTGTAGAAGAAAGACAGCCAGGAGCAGAGACCACATGGGCGAAGGTTTACGACTGGACTGTAAGTTGAAGGTTGCAGCAGGTAGAGGGAGGAAGCGCAGGCAGGGGGCAGAGTCACTGGCTGGCAGGGGCAGTGGTATCATCAGTTAACTCTACTGACATCCAGGATTTATGTTCCCAAAACACAACCTTAAAAAACTCCCCACAATTTCCCCATTTTTCTGTGACCTTGCTATGACCACCAGACTCCTCAGTGGTGTGGCCTTTTGCCTCCTGGGGGCAGGCGCGTCCCCTAAAGACTTTTCCTTGGCTCACCACATCCTAGCCTAAGCCTTTACCTCAGGTCTACATTATTGGGTCCCTCCTTGGACACTCAACTTCCTTCTATGATAGACTTCACAGAAGCTGGGACAACCAGATCCCAAAATACCAGAGAAGAAATGCAGGACATCAAGTGGCACGGAGATGCCTGAGACTGCCATCCATGACTACATGTGTAGGTGTTAATAGGCGCTGAAACTGGTGTACAGCTGATCCATCCCAGCACTCACTATAGAGAAATCCCTGAGGGTCTGTGCCTTTCTCTCAAAGCCAAATACATGGCCTTGGTGTCAGACAGCCTCTCCCAGACCTCTGTGCCCTCTTGCACCAGAAGTCACCCCACAGCCACCTTCCTCTGCACACAAAGTTCAGTGGAAGATATAGGTGGCCTTGTCTTCACAAGACCGTTATTTGGGCAGTGGATAATGTCCCATAGGAGTCTCCCGAACACTGCCTCAGAAGTCTTCCTCAGTTGCTCTCAGAAAGGAAAGTTCATTTGAAATTGTATATTGCAGACAGTATTCACAACACAGGTACATTCTTTTCCTTGTCGGCCTTCACAACTCCATCTTTCCCACACCATGCTCATGTCAGTCCTCAGCCTCCTCCATGTGATGTCTGCTCCCGGCTGTCCTCTCCCTTTCTCTGCACCCTTATCTCCAGTCAACCTTAGAAGGGTCAGTTCAGGTCATTTCTCATGCGTTGTGCTCCTCCCACCAAAGGCCTTTCCACTCCATGCTGTATCCTCTGGGTCAACACAAGTCTCTTCTTTTTTGTTCTGGCTCCAAATCTCAGTTTTATTACCACCATCTTTAGGAAGACACTCCTTCAACAGTTTTTCTAGGCTGCACCTCCTTATTATAAATGCTCACAGCTTATAATATGCATTAGTATTCATAGATTTAACACCATTGTTATTTTCCATGACTTTGGGTGACTAATGGATACTTCTCTTGCGCTCTAGACTGTAAAACTCATCATTTCAGAAACTGTGGATGTTTTGTTCCCCATTTTATTGTCAATACCAACAGCAGTTCCAGGTGCCAGTGGCCAATCTTGAAAAAATAAAGAATGGATAGTGAAAGGCCCTCTCGGTTCCCTCTTAGACTGTTTCAGAAGTCTGGATGCATTAAATGGGAATCTCTATCCCTTCATCTCCTAGGATCTAATGAGTCCTGGAAACATGAGAAATCCCTGTCATGGATGAGTCACTGGATCCCAAGCCTTTCTGCACGACTGAACTTCCTATCAGGAGGCCCATCACCCTCCTGGTCTGTTTCCTTCTTCAATCGCCTTCCCTCACAGGTGTCTTGGATTTCAGAGTCTCACAGACACAGGGCACCTAATCATTGGCAGAGTGATCTGAAATATAATGTTAAACACTGACATTAAAAGGTGATGGAGGCTGGGTGCAGGGGCTCACACCTGTAATTCCAGTACTTTGGGAGGGCAAGGCAGGTGGGCCACGAGGTCAGGAGATCGAGAACATCCTGGCTAACACGATGAAACTCCATCCCTGCGAAAAATAAAAAAACCAAATTAGCTGGGCAAGGTGGCGGGCGCCTGTATTCCCAGCTACCCAGGAGGCTGAGACAGGAGAATGGCGTGAACCCACGAGGTGGAGCTTATAGTGAGCCAAAATTGCAACAGTGCACTCCAGCCTGGGGGACAGTGAGACTCCGTCTCAAAAAACAAAACAAAACAAAACAAAACAAGAAAAAACAGGTTATGGAGAAGAAAACAAATGGCTTTTCCATTCTCTTAGAGTTTTCCCAAGGCACAAATATCTCTGTGGGTGGCTTTGAGGCCATTGTGCCTGATACACTGAACTATATCATTGGTGTCCATTTCCATGAATTAGTTGGCAACACCAGAGACACACAGCTCATGGTAACCAGCTTCCTCCAGACCACACATGATTTTGGTGCAGGGCGCTGAGCAGAGACCTTTGCTTGTTCCTTTCTTTTCCCAGATAGGAAAGGCTGACTGTGAGGCAGAGGCTCCATTTTCAGAGCAGGGCTGTGTGTTAGTCTCTGAAGAATTGTGAGACTCATTCTGGGTAGAAATAATCAAATATACAATCATTAAGGATGCTCCACAGAAAGACCGAAGTCCTACTTTTGCAAGAATTATTTGCATCTATGCTTTAAAGATGAATGCAGTTTTATCTCTTTAGGCAGGAAAGACCAAAAATAGACTAGCTATTTTAAATAATTGAACCTTAAACAGACCAAAGTCAGAACATCTTCCCTAGGGACAGCATTTTCTTTCACCCACTCGCTAAAGCTGTATTTGAGAAAGCTGTGTGCTGTTGATAAATGCTGGAATATCATTACAATCGACATCGTAATAATACTGCTACTTGGATCAGAAACAAAGAGCATTTCCAAAGCTTGAAAAATGTAAAACTGGAAACAAGCTCTTACTGAGTTTGGAAATGCAGGCACTGGAGGGTGCTCATTTCTATTCCTTTTCCAATCAGGGGGCTATTCAAAGTCTGTTCTAGAACAAGGAGTGAGATCCTCCACTTCACCGTGGTGATCAGGCTTTCAGAGGTAGAAGCCATTATGGATTATGAAGCCATTAGTTCATAATCAGCATAAACCGACCTCACCATCAAATGTGTCGACCCCGATGCTCACCCTCCTCAGCAGTCAGAGACTGGCTGTGTTCACCAGGAACTTGTGCGCTTTTATGGAGCACACTTTATCCACAGTTCATTACAAAAAATAAATGGGCCTTTATGGGGGTTCCATAAACAGAAGCTTTCTGTGCTTTGCCCGTGTAGACACTACAAATTCTGATGCCTCATGAAAGGTATAAACTTAAAGCTTGCATGTGGTTAAGATTTTCTAATAACCAAATTCAATTATATATATATGTATATATATTGAAAATGTCAATAATGCTCTCAAATCCAATCCCACCTTCCATGGGTAACCAATATTAACGCTCTGGTATGCTTCTTTTCACCCCTTTTTTCTGTGTTCATGCATACCTTTCTACCCAAGTACACCTACAGAAAATGGGTTCACCTGTACACTTTACCTGCCACATGCATACTCTTTTCTGTTAACATACCTTGATCTTTATTGTTGCAGATTTCGATATAGATCTAACTTGCTACTATTAGCTGCTTCACATGGCACAACGAGGGTAGACAGGTACACTTGTGTTCTGTTATCTGATTCCTAAATTCTGCTAGATTTTTTCTAAAGTGACTGAATGGCTTCTTTTGGCTTCCAAGTTCTCTTCACTCCAGCACCCAGTTGATGATTCCAGCTTTTCCATCACTCATAGTCCTAGCAAGTGTGAGAGCCCCACTGGTGTCTCCTGCATGAGGGAGGGATAAAAGGATAGACATTTATCAAACCTACCAGGGACTACACAGTATCTCAGTTAATCCTCATAAAGCATTGAGGGGAATGTTAGTCTTGTTTTGTAGATGAGTCTAAATGAGGCTAAAGTCCAGGAACAGTAATGAACGGCCTTGCCCATGGTCTCTGAGCTAATAAATGTTGGAGCCAGATGAAGGACAGTCAGCTAGCTTCTGTGTGGAACTGATAGTGGGGTCACTGGAGTTTGAGGGAGGGGAAGTCTAGAACCATCTGGGGCTGTCTTCAGATCAGACACCAGGGTTAGGAGAGTCTATGTACCCTATAGCACTGCAGGCACAAGTATTATGGTGTTGGCACTGGGCAAGTACTAGAGTGGGTAAGTGGTTAGTGGCCTGGAACCAGAAGATCTGAGCTTTGAGAAAATTATTCCCATCACAAGACGTAGCAGAGACACTGATGTGGACATACTAGGCCAGGAAGCTCTATGAGGAGCTGTTGTTAACATGAGGGAGGGAGGAGAAGCAACTAAGTGGTCACTTCCTATACGTGAAATGTAGAGGAAAACCATGTTAAGTAGAATCCCATCTGATTTTCGTCAGTTTTGCTTTGTAAGCAGTTGGGAGGTGGGATAATTTATTTTTGAGTTTAAATAAACATCTATATGGCTCCTTTACCTTATGAAGGCTGGTGGGGAAGGGAAAAATGGCACGGTCAATGGAGTCAAAGTTTGCTTAGTAAATAACTCAGAGTTCAAAGAGAGACTCTCATGGGCCAGAAATTGGTAAAGCTTTCTGGATTCTAAAATTAGGAGGATCTTATTTTCTTTGAATCAGCAGAGAAGGAAGGAAAGGCAGTGGGGAGGGACAGTTGGGAATACAGAATGTCGAAGACAAAGGACACGTAATTCCAAATTCGAAGCTGTGAAGCTGTGATACAAACTTCTGCTTCTCCCAATGGATTTTCAGGTCTCAGCACAGATGCACACCTAAGGGAGTAATTTCTTTGGAAATGAAGGACAAACAGCTGTGTTCAATATTAATAACAACTCCACCTTACAAAGCACACCTGGAAATGGAAACAAGATTTTTTTAAAGGCCTTTTCTACTCTAAGAGTCTCTAAGTTGGTGGCCAGGTGAGAGATGAGGAAGGGACGGGGGTGTTGATCCACACGCCAAGAGTACCATGAAGCATATAGTTCTGAGAGTGCATCAGAGCCCTAAGAAGAATAATGCCCTTTACGTTGTTTTGCCTTCTGCCATCCCAATCCCACCCCACCTATAATTAAGCAGCCACGGAAATGAGGGGAGCCAGAAGGAATCAAACCCTGCTGCTTGGTTCAGTAGACACGGGGACCTGGGGGAATGGTGTTGGCTGGGTCTAGGAGAAAATGATGAGCTCAGAAAATAGAGAGCAGAAACCCCAGGGGAAAGCTTGTGAAACCCTGGAGGGATCACAAGACATGTTATTAGAGCTCCTTTTTATTTATTAGTAAATTTTATTCATTACTAAATTAATAGCAGGAATCCTGCACAAAGGGATATGCCCTATGAAACATGACATCTCAAATACAAACAGAGCACTCTTCCTCACCCTAAAGCCACCCCTCTCTCCCCAAGTCCCTCACGCATCAGGCCACCTTTGTGCCCATAAGTCATAGGCAGTGCTGTGTGGTCATCATCATCCACACAGAGAGGGCAGTCAGTAGCGTGAGGTGGTTCTGCCTGCTGTGGTCTCACCCCAGGCATGGAAATAAAGGGCCCTGGGAGGAGCTGAAGGTGCTCAGCTGGGTTTGTCAGGAGTCCCACCTGTCAGTGAGTTGACAAGAAACAGAGCAAAACGACTTCTCCAATGTTGATGAGCCTGCCCCTGGGATTTGGAAACTTGAAAACAGAGAAAACCAATATAGGCAAAGGATTTTAATCAGGATTATGGTCAATTAAGCAAATTAGAAAAGGATACTTGAAGGAGTATTTGGGACGCAGGAATCAAAAACACCAGGAAGACATGAGGAGTTTCCTAAGACTCTAGACTACAGCAGTATGTAGATAACTAACACTAGAATGTTAATTATATCATTGAAGAAATAAAATTTACATTGAGTTACAAACTGTTTACAAAAGGTCATGAAAATCTTGGAGACTTGTTTCAATTCAGACAAATATGTCCTTCTCATTCTCAGCTGTTCATTGGTGCATTTATCTTGAATTTGACCATCTGGGGAATGGGCGTGGCCTCTCCTGACAGGAAGGCTCTAGGGTCCAGGCAGGGAGAATGACATCTCAGAATGACTCCCTTGACAGTCCTGGTACCCTTTCACCAACACACAGAACCAGAAGACCCCTCCGTCCTGCAGCACCTGCCATGAGCATCGGCCTCCTGTGCTGTGCGGCCTTTTCTCTCCTGTGGGCAGGGGGGTCCTGGGCAGGGACCCTTGTGTGGATTTCAAGGCCCAGCGCCTTCCCATTGAGGGTGCAGCAGCAGCTTTGTTCCTCTCTGCAGGTCCAGGGAATGCTGATGTCACTCAGACCCCAAAATTCCAGCTCCTGAAGACAGGACAGAGCCTGACACTGCAGTGTGCCCAGGATATGAACTATAACTACATGTTCTGGTATCGACAAGACCCAGGTGTGGGGCTGAGGCGGATTCATTACTCAGTTGCTGCTGGTATCACTGACAAAGGAGAAGTCCCCAATGGCTACAATGTCTCCAGATTAAACAGAGAAGATTTCCCGCTCAGGCTGGAGTCCGCGGCTCTCTCCCAGACATCTGTGTACTTCTGTGCCAGCAGTGACATCACAGTGCTGCACGGCCGTCTCCTCTCTGCACATAAAGTCAGGTAGGCTCTTCCCTCCTCCCCCACCCAAGACTCAGGGATGCCCTGGGCAGAGTTCTCTGCACCACGAACCTTGGTACCCCGACTGGCCCCAAGTGGCCCAGACATTATGAGCCTTGCTCTGTGCCAGGTGCCTCTGCAGGCAGTCTCAGCCAGGACTGGACTGGTCCCAGGTCCTCATAAGTCTCCTTTGTTGCTCTGTCCTTTTCTCAGAGCTCTCCTTTTGGGGTGGGGCCAGGGCTTCCCCAGCTCCTACTTTTCTACCCATCATACTGGGTCCGAGGCCCCCAGGGTGGAACACAGATTTGTAGTTCACATCCATCTAGACTCCCGTCTCTCCCTGGTGACCATGTTGCTTCCTTTCGCTTGGGTTTCCCCCAGCCCCCACCCTCACATGGTCTCTCCTGCAGCCCACCTTTCTCATCTGGGCAGTAATCCTCCAAGGCCTTGCTGGGTTTCTCCTCCCCTCACCTCCCCGCCCCTCTCTACTGCAGCCATGAGGCGAGACCCTCTTCTGTGCCTCCTTCCTTCCCATCGCAGAGATTTCAAAGGGCATTTTCTCTGCCCTGGGCTGGAGCCTCCCTTCCTCTAGTGGTTAGCTCCTACCTGTGCTTCAGATCTCAGCATGCTCAGCCCCTTCTGCAGGAAGCACTCCCTCCCCTCCCAGCTGAGATCAACTTCTCTCATAAGCTCTCATAGAATCAGATGTCTGTTAGTAACCTTTAGCACCATTGGGCTTTCTCAGATACTTGTCTGATTATTTTTGTGCTCCACCCATTTCTTTTTCTTTTTTTTCTTTTTGAGACGCAGTCTCACTCTGTCGTCAGGCTGGAGTGCAGTGGCATGATCGGCTCACGGCAACCTCCGACTCTGGTTCTAGCGATTCTCGTGCCTCAGCCTCCTGAGTAGCTGGGATTACAGGCGTGCACCATGACAATCGTTTTTGTGTTTTTTGTAGAGATCGGATTCACCATGTTGGACAGGATGGTTTCCATCTCCTGGCCCCATGATCTGCCTATCTCGGCCTCCCAAAGTGCTGGGATACAGGCATAAGCCACCACGCCTGGCCTCTCCACCCAATTTTTAAGCCCATGAGAGCTAAGGCTGCGCCTGCTGCATTTACCAACATTGGTGCCTGGCATGTGGGGAGACCCATTTCACAGGGAACGGATGAGTGAATGACAGGCTGAGTGACTGATGAGTGGGTGGATGATCCAATAGTAGGAACACATTACATCTACTGTAACCTGGCAGAGATCTAGCATTAAGTACAAGAAAGCCCACCCCTTTGATTGCTGGGCTCAGGTTGGTCTTGGAAATTGATGGGGAATCACTATCATGGGGACCACACCTGGGTCAAGGCTTCCTTTTGTGGCTGCAGCACCTGACCTCCTGCAGGTCTCTGTGCTCTCCTTCAGGGTCTTTTCCAGCAAATCTAGACAGATCAGAAAACCACTTCTAGAATTCTATGCTTAAAGGTTGTTCCTTGAAAGCACTTCTGGTAAGAAAATCTGCATTAGGTTTGCATCAATAAAACAGGGCCACTACAAATTTGACATTGTAATGGATTTATGATCAGAATTACACGATATGCATATGTGACAGGAGTTGAGGAAAAGAGGGTCTGGAGGAGAGAAATAAGAAGGTGAGGGAGCCAGTCAGTAACCAGAGATCCTGGATATCTGGGCAGGACAGGCTGGAGTGGCAGGGACATGGGAGGATCAGAGCATGCCAGGCCATGCAGTGGGACCTTGAACCAGGAGCACAGGAAAAGGCCACGGAAACCTGCTTCTGTGGAAGCTGTTCTCTCTCTATGGGGGCCACCACTGCAGGTGCACTGCCAAACACTGGGGGCAGCCTGGCTGCTGTTGGCCAGCATTTGGGAAGATGAACTGAACACAGGGTACAGAAGGAACAGGTCTTCCGAGGTCTGTTGGATGCCTCTGTATTTGCTGGTCACTGTCTCTCACTGTCTGACCACAATGACCTGCCTAGTGTAATAGTGACTGTTTTACATCTATCTAACAAATTTTACCTAATGTATCTTTGACCATCTCTAACCCAGAATGGTAAGAGAAATGGCATTCTTATCTTGCCTTTGCAAAGTTGATTTAACGCAATCCAGCACAGGATGGATTCTCCCAGATTAAGGTATCTGATCACACAACTGTCTCAATCTTCCACAGTCCCTGGACTCCTCTCCTGGGGACACCTGTGCTGCCTAGGTGAATGTGGACACAATTTGTATGTAGATGTTCCAGACACTGGCTACTAACTTTTCTTTAATCCTGTGCCTAAAGTCTCCCTCCACCTATAGTCAGGGTTCTGCCTCTTTCTTCTATCTCTTTCCTGAGCTTCCCTCCTGATGGAATTTCATGGACATCAGACTGCTGGTCAGAGTGCAGCAACCTGTGGAGACAGCGGGAGGGAATCTCACCTCTTGCTGCCTTCTTGGACTCAGTTCTTTTATAACCAAAGCAAGTGCTCTGGTCTCCCTTTGGACTCTGCAGTACGAGAAATGTGCTTCATGAATTTGTAACTTTGCCTTTCCAGAAAAAAGCTCTGTCTTCTCTTGGCCCAGTCTAGCCCAGTAGGCTTAATTCATGATTTATGTTACCTTTTAATTTACTCAAAGGAGAACATATGATTTGAGAGTAAAGAATATTCATTTTACTTTGTGTAAGTTGGACCCAAACAGTAAACTGTATACTTGTGTTCCATCAGTGTCTTAAATTGGGCAATGGTAAAACAAATCTTTGATGCTAGAAATTTAGGTCCTGCTGTTTTATATGTGGAAGTTCCCAGTGTCCTGGGCACACAATAGATGGGTGTTAGTAAGTCACACTATGCCCGAGATGGTTTTCTATGGGTTTACAGACTAGTATTCTCCCGTTGAGCAAGCATAAGAGCGTTTGCTTCTTCAAGCTCATTTGTCAGTTTGTATGGGAATTTCCAATTTGAAATAAGTTATGCTTTTAAATTTGAAAGTGTGAAGTCAGACCGGGTGCGGTGGCTCCTGCCTGCAATCACAGCACTTTGGGAGGCCGAGGCGGGCTGATCACAAGGTCAGGAGTTTGAGACCAGCCTGGCCAATAGGGTGAAACTCTGTCTCTACTAAAAATACAAAAACATTAGCCAGGCGTGGTGGCGGCACCTGTAGTCACAGCTACTTGGGAGGCAGAGCCAGGAGAATCGTTTGAACCTGGGAGTTGGAGGTTGCCGTGAACCAAGATCCTAATGTTTTTCATATGGAAGTTCCCTGTTAACCAGTCCAGGGCATGGAATAGGTGAGCGTTAGTAAGTCACTCTATGCCTGAGATGATTTTCTATGGGTGTATTTTCTGAGTTACAGTTAACAAAGGTGGGAAATGATCCCAGAAGAAAGGCATGAGGGCAGTTCTTGAGGGAACCCATGCGATGGAACAGTCCTGTTGGACACATGTGACTGGGGGAATGGAGGAGGCTGGGACATGAATGGGGATGGCAGGGGGGACCCTGACTTGCAGGAAAGACAATGAGCTTACCCCTTTGTGCCCTATGTTAGGGGCACTGTTGGTGCATCCTACAGGACATGCCCAGCAGACAGAGGAGCGACTGTGGGATGAGAAGATGAACTCAGAGATGCAGCATGAGGCCTCCGGGTACAGACAGCTCTGGAGCCCAAGGCGATGAGCCATGCATTGATGTTGTTAAAACAGTGGTTAAAAATATTTAAAGCATCAACCAAGTGTGTTCTAATATAAATACTGTGACCCTGATGTCCTGGGGAATGAGAGAGGAAATGATGTCACTGTGGGAAATGCCCTGTGGGGACAAGGACGTCTGTCATCCTCTGCTCCTGCTCACAGTGACACTGATCTAGTAACACCCCCGTCCTGGCCTGACCCTGCCATGGGCACCAGGCTCCTCTGCTGGGTGGTCCTGGGTTTCCTAGGGATAGGTGAGTCCTCAGAACACTAAGTAGTTTCATTTTTTTCTGTATGTAGACGTGTGTGTGTGTGTGTGTGTGTGTGTGTGTGTGTGATGAATACAAATGTTTTCCTTTTTCTGTTGCCAAATTCTATTTCCACAGATCATATAGGTGCTGGAGTCTCACAGTCCCCAAGATACAAAGTCACAAAGAGGGGACAGGATGTAGCTCTCAGGTGTGATCCAATTTCGGGTCATGCAGGCCTCTATTGGTACCAACAGGCCCTGGGGCAGGGCCCAGAGCTTCTGACTTACTTCAGTTATGAAGCTCAACAAGATAAATCAGGGCTGCCCAGTGATCGCTTCTCTGCAGAGAGGCCTGAGGGATCCGTCTCCACTCTGAAGATCCAGCGCACACAGCAGGGGGACTCAGCCATGTATCTCTGTGCCAGCAGCTTAGCCACAGCGTGGCACGGTCGCCTCCTTCCTGTTCACAAACCTCATCCTTCTTTCTCTTTGCAGCTCCAAGAGACCCTTACTTTTTGTCTCTCTTTGCTCCTCACTTTTCATAGGAAACAGGTAGATTTGGACGTCGGCTGTCCTTTGGGTAGAAAGAGACCACAGATTCATTTCTGAGACACAGTGACTACAAATGTAGATGGTAAAAACAATCACGGCCCACTGCACTCTAGGAGTCCTCGGAACCAGCTCACTTCTTCAAGCAAGGAGTGGGTGTCTCAGCCTAGGCCTTCAGGGCAGACATGCGTCTTCTATACGTCTTGGAGGCTGCGGTGCTGCCCATATACATGAGGTTGTCAAGGGAGGGAAACATGCCTCTTCTCCTGCATTTATTGGGGCATCTGGAAGGTCTGAGGCTACATACCCAGGAACATCTTTCTTTTGAAGCTCTTCTATCCCTGTCACCATGGAAGTTTTCTGCAACAAAATATTGAACCTCTCTTCCTATTTGAAGTAAAGATCTTTGCAACTTTTATGGTCCTTACTTGATAAATACAATCATGATAACAAGAAGACTTCATTTATTTGCCTACTTTAAGCCACGTATATCCTTTATTTTATTTCCATTTGCCATTACTGATGTCCTGATAGACAGAAGTATGCCTTCACCACTGCTGCCAGTTCACCTTGATTCCTTCAGGAAATCTGATTTTTAGACTCTGAGTGTTTTCATTGTTGTCCAACTCATTTGATTTGAAATAATTTTCCTGAGGCCTTTAATTCAAGAAGTGTTTTATTTATAATACTGAATTTATTCCTTTTTATTTTATTTTTCATAATATATAGTGTTATATAGTATATAGATCTGGGATTCTACAAGTTTGTAAGTCATACTGAAAACATCACCTTGGCTGAGATTCCACTGGACACCAAGTACGTGTTCTCTGGAGGGCAAAAAAATAATGATAAAAATTTCTAAAATACCTAAATAAACGAGTACTGAAGGAAAATGTTAGGAGATGCACCAAACTGTGCCTTTAGACCTGAAGATAATCTACCAGTAGAATTATCAAAAAGAGACTATAAATAAGTCTCTAGTAAGTATTTGTGGGCATAGAGCAGTGTCTGAGTCTTCGCAGGCTAGATAAGGAAGGAATTCAGTTATTATCATGACTTTGCCTTGGATGAAAATGCATGAACTCCTCAATTTATTTTCCTGTAAAATATTACAGAATGGTATTGAGCAAACATTTCATTTTTCTCCAACTGTATCCCTCTTTAGCACTTACAGGTAAAGCGGACACCTAGAGCCACGATTTCTGTAGTTGGGATCCCTTGACTTCAGGACTAAGGTCCATAGCTGGGCTTTACAGGGACTGCAAACCCCACGTGCAGGGAACCCCGTGTGTCTGTGCTGTGCCCAACTCCCCTCTGTGAGGCTGCCAAAGGGGGAGTGCTGGGTCTCCTAGAACCCAGCTCACAAAGAGGGTAGCAGTCTGCTTGCTGGGCAAAAAAATAAATTCACCTATTGGCCAATATGTGGAAAGTCAAAAACAAAGGAAATGCTCGATGGTGAGACTGGCAGATGCCCAATTGCCCAAGTTATGAAATGTATAACAGCTCATGGTCTCAGAATTTCAACAGCTCATTAAGATATTTTTAGAAAGTTTTTGTTTGTCTACAGCTGTCCTTGATATTGATCCTCACTTGTTTTCCAGCCCACTGGTCACTTGAGGTTATTTTGTTGCCAAATTTCAATGTTGCCTATTTCAGTCACTGAGCACTTCTCACATTCTCCATATCTTACACAGATAGGTGTGTTCCTGTCTTTTTCTTGCTATAATTAGAAGTACAATGATTATATTGCAATAGAATCTTCCACCTGTCTGTGGGTGATGCTGCAGTTTGTATCATGAAATCAATGCACTGGTCAGAGCTGATGTGAATTACAGATCATGGGTTTCTGAGAGTCCTTGGCATCAGAACACTTCTCCAAGTCTAGGACTCAGTGTCCCAGACACAGCCATGATAGAGGTGCCTGAGTCTTTCATAGCTGAGGCATCATAGTCCTTCCAAATTCATGATCAGAAATTGTAGTGGTAGAGACACCAGAATTTCTTTCCCCCAGAGAATGATGGTCATGGGTGGGGAGTTGCTCTGGACCCACTTTTTTCTTGTGTAGTCATCCAAGTCGCTCCTTGCTCAGATGCCCTGTGTCTCTTGGGACTAAGGCCAGGGCACAGATGGGGAGTCCCTGTCTTCCTGGACCTTCTACTCTCTAACTGCTGCCACTTTCCTCAAGTGACTCCTGAGACAGCTGGTCTAACAGTGGACAAGCTCTGACACTGAGGCTGAACAGAACACAGTACACAGTTGTAAATGGTGGCGCAAGAACATGTAATAAAAGCGAGCAGTGCTTCCAATTTATACTGAGAATGAACATGCAAGAGGAGCAGCGTGGCAGACGTTACTAATGAACAAATGAAAGGAATAAGGGTTTCTGCTTTATTGAAATCATTCTGTTTTCTTAAGTTAAGCAGGAAAAACATTTCATTGCAATTACTTCAAGTCAAGAGCTAGCAGCTCCCCAACCAACCATCTTAACTCTTTGTTCTGTGATCTTAGCAGCTTCAGAGGACTCAGAAATCCTTTCTGCACGGCAATCCCTTTGTCCATTCAAGACCCGGATCACACATCTGATCCTATCATGAAAATAAGGAGGTTTGCTATAGTTGCTGTGGCCTCATTTTTAGTGTTTTGAGTAGGAAGCATTGAAGAATTTTGAAAGTTTTGCTCTTGAGTCTAGGGATGTGCTAGAGTCAGCTTCTGTGACTCAGAAGAACCAAATAGGCATAATTGTCGCAGTTCCCTATTGAGTGAAGCCATGGCCAGGGAGCTTGGAAGTCTGCCATGGTGGGGATGCTGGCAAAACAGAAATTAGGAAATGCTACCAGACATGCCCCCACCTTCCTGAACACCCAGATTAGCAGCACCATCACTGGAGTATTTTCCTGATGTCTATTTATGCCATGTCTTTGGGGCCAAAAGGACTCAGAATTTTCCTCCTATCTACTCTTGCTCTGAGAATCCATCATCTTCTGGGGCCTCAGTTGTGCCTATTTTTATTCAACCTTCAAATTCTCTTGCTCCGTAATTCTTTGTCTCCCTCAAGCATGGCAGTCTGGAGCATGACAACTATTTTGAGTGTAACTAAAGGTATCACTGAACCTGTCCGTGACCCCACAAATTATCTTTCCTCATGGAATATTTAGATGCTGGAGTCATTGGGAACAGAGATGGCCAAGCAGCAACTCTAGGTTGTGAACCACATATAGCCCCGCTATTCTTCTGTGTCACCGACAGACCTGAAACAAAGGACTATTATGCTTTGGAAACTGAGAGCGTTCCACCCGTCAGGAATGACTCTGGTTTTACTTTAGGCTGAGAGTCAGAAGGATCCCACCTAAGTATTCTCCTGTCAAGAGGCTGATGGCCACTCTCCATCTGAGTCTGGAAGTTGTCGAGTTCCCTGAGAATCTCTGCTCTGGGGGCAGAATCACCAAGGCTCATCCTCGCCAGCTCCCACAGGCTCAGTAGAGCGTTCCTGCCACGTGCAGGGCACAGAATAGCTCTACCTGTCTCTTAGTTAGGGGAGGCCGTACAATGTTGTATAAGAGGGACTGGAATTCTGGAGTTTCCACTGGGCATTTGACAATATTTTTCTTGTTATTTTTGTTTGTTTTGTTTGTTTTATTTTGCCATCTCACCAATGAGAGAGCAATTCCTTAGTAGTTATATTGTTTTTGGCACTTGGGAAGGTTTTTGGTTAAGTCACATTAAGAAATTGTGCCTATTTTTCCTGTTCAGCTATAACTCAAGGCAGTGAAAGAAACAGTAATAATTTTGAGAGCAGTCACGTGCATTCTATGATAAAGGTGTTACTTTTCATTGCCCACATCTAACTTTCAGTCTAGTGGAAATGAAAAGGCACAGTTAGGAGACATGTGAGCATGCCATGAGAGGTCAATGCCAATTGCAAGGTCTGTGCCAATCCCAGTACTGTAGGATTGAAGGGGAGAGGAGATGACCTCTCTTTCAGACTGTGCTCAACAAGGAGGGAGAGGGAGTTCATCCATGGGGAAGCTGAGGAGAGCAAATCAGGGCATCCTAACTCAGGAGTGCAGGAACAAATCTTGGAAAATGGCAGTTCAGCTGTCACAGGAGACGGGGAGAAAGCAAGTCATCTAATCCACAGTCCCCAGGCTGAATTGCTTCCTTATGATGCTATTCAGCACCAGCCAATCCTCATCTCCGCTGCTCCTCTGCCTCTTCCAGAATCATCTCTTCCCTGTTTGGTACTCAGATCAAAAAGATATGCATTGTACATAGTGATCATTTCCTGTAGCAGCCACTTTGCTAGTCTTAGCTATATCCATCCTTATTTTCTGCATGGGAGTACTTCTTCCTCCACCATTGCTTACCTGCCTTGTGAGGAGTCTCATTTTGTATATTTCAGATTTTACTTTGATAATAGACATTTGACTTCATCTTTTGCTGATCTATACTTTTGGGGTAACATTGTCATTTGTGGATGATATTTTTGTATATCTTTAGTGGTTCAGATTAAATAATCTCTTTATACCTCAACATCTGTGTTTTCTTACTATTTTAAAACCAAATATTATTTCCCTTCATTCCTCTCATTCTGTTCCTCTTTCTTTAGATGGTAGTTTAAGGAGAAAAAGATAGGCTATATGGAGCTATGTGTTAAGAGTTTTTCAGAATGGGGTGGGATATTAAGACTGATAACTGAAAGCAATAATCCAGGAGTTAGAACTAGTGTTGGTATGATGATTTGGGAAAGCTGCTCATAACACCTGCGGGATGGCACTTCTACTGGAATATTCTGGCAGCTCACTCTATAGACACTTCCCAGCTCTTGGGCCATTGCAGAAGAAACAATGATGAAACTTCACTTATTGGCCACAAGATGGCACTGTGGTCTGCTGAGATCAGAAAAGGGCTCTGGGGAGTCTGGGAGAGCAGTCTAGGAGGAAAGGGTTTAGAAAAATTAGGGCTTGGATTCAATATTATGCAGATGTTGCAGCAGTTTTCAATTATTGCTAGGCCAACTACACAGCTGTGCAAGAGGCGGGAAGTCCCTCTAATCTTTAATGACAAATACAGTTAGAAGTTTTGCGGGCAGCCTTGGTATCAGGGGCAGGTGCAGGGGAGCAAATGTCTCAGAGGAACATTGGAAAGCTAGGGGCAGGCTGTGCCTGGGCCCAGTGCATCTCTGCTGCCTCATCTTCCCTGCAGGTCTCACCCAGGCAACACCTTTAACGTGTATGAGTGATCTGGGATTCTTTTTTTGTTTTGTTTTTGTTTTTTTAATTTATTTATTATTATTAAACTTCCAAGTTGTAGGGTACATGTGCTAGCGATGCAGGTTTATACATGTATACTTGTGCCATGTTGGTGTGCTGCACCCATCAGCTCGTCATTTACATCAGGTATAACTCCCAATGCAATCCCTCCCCCCTCCCCCCTCCCCATGA